ACTAAAACTATAAAACTACTACTACTACTAAAACTATAAAACTACTATTACTACTACTAAAACTACTATTACTACTACTAAAACTATAAAACTACTACTATTACTAAAACTACTATTACTACAACTACTATTACTAAAACTACTACTATTACTAAAACTACTACTACTACTACTACTTCTACTACTACTACCACTACTACTACTACTACTACTACCACTACTACTACTACTACTACTACTACTACTACTAAAACTATAAAACTACTATTACTACTACTAAAACTACTATTACTACTACTAAAACTATAAAACTACTACTATTACTAAAACTACTATTACTACAACTACTATTACTAAAACTACTATTACTACAACTACTATTACTAAAACTACTATTACTACAACTACTATTACTAAAACTACTACTACTACTACTACTTCTACTAAAACTATAAAACTACTATTACTACTACTACTACTACTACTAAAACTATAAAACTACTACTACTAAAACTATTACTACTACTAATACTACTAAAACTATAAAACTACTACTATTACTAAAACTACTATTACTAAAACTACTACTACTACTTCTACTAAAACTATAAACTACTACTAAATCTATAAAACTACTATTACTAAAACTATTAATACTAAAACTACTACTACTACTTCTACTAAAACTATAAAACTACTACTAAATCTATAAAACTACTATTACTAAAACTACTATTACTAAAACTACTACTACTACCAGAGGCAGGTTTCCAGCGGGAGGAGAATCATCTGCTGCCTCTTACACTCCTGGAGTCTCATCAGGAACATTATCCTCAGGTGTGGAAACTGTTGGCGCCATCTGGTGTCTTCAGAGCAGCAGGAAACACAGGAACTCCCACACAGCCAGTCATTACTTTGTTTCATCAAAATATGTCCACTGTTTCATGAGATATTTTGCTAACAGACAAGAGAACACAGCCAATAAAAATGGGGTTAATCATTCTACATGAAAATCCTTCCATGGTCAGATGTAAAAACTCTGTGATAGCTTATGAGCCTTTTTAGATCTTTTATTTTTCTGATCATGTTTTAGGCACCATAAAGTTCTGCTCTTATTGGTCAAAAATTGCCTTTATTCATTCACAAATTTGACATTTTTTTTTACATTTTATAAAATCTTTTATTTGACGGACTAATATTCTAATAGTCATTGATAATCACCAAAGATTCAGTCTCATTCAGGAGGTATAATCTTTAAAGTTTTACTATTACAATGATGCAAGGAACTGTTTTTTTATTTGTTGGTGTTTTATAATATATAAATACAGGTGGAGACTGAGGATGGAGAACAAGAAGTAAAAATAGAAGATAAAGAGGAAGATTCCCAGCCAGAAGTTCATGATGACCAGGACCAACCGAGCAGCAGCACAGCTCAGCTTGAGCAGGAAGATGAGGAGACCCAAGAAAAATCAGCTGAGGAGACCGATCCTCCACATCCTCCAGTGCCTGCAGAGGATGAAAACTTACAGAGTCCGCAAAAATCTTTTGAGCAACATAAAACCCTGGAAAGCTTGGAAGGCCCGGGTGCATCAACCCAGCTGGAACAGAAAGAACCGATCACGGATGACGGAGACATCCAGGTGAAGGAGGAGGAAGGTGAGGCACTTACCCAGCCTGAGGAGCAGGAGCTGGGCACAAGCCCGCCAAGTGATGTCCAGAGCCAGGAGCTGCAGGCTATGGACATAAAACAAGAAGCTACAAAAGAGTAAACAAAAGCACATTCGCCTGCATCGCTCGCCTCCGACCAGTTCTTTTGATGCATAGAATCAGCTGCAGTAACTATAACTGTGCCGTAATTAGAGCTCCAATAAAGCAACACCATGTAAAAATGTGTATCCTGTTGATCTTCCCAATCTCAGAATAAAGTATTAATTATGAGTAAATTTGCAACGGTTTATCAAGTGATCATCACAGTTAACATCCACAATTAACCTTGAGAACATGACTGTTAACTCGAAAAAATAAAAGGAAGTGATTTCCTGTCAAGCTGTTTCCATCTTTAATCAGACTCTATATGTTTACACAGCTGTGCATTTTTGTCACTTCTACATAAAAAGCTTTGCCCACGGAGAAACAGGCTTGATTCCAATATGGCTGTTACCATAGCAACAGCATAAGAGGAGTCCACTCATATAATGTAATAGCAGTAAATACAGCAGTTCACGACAGGGTAACACATCACCAAGTCTTTGCAAAGCCAAAACCACGGAAGTCCTTTTATCTTTCCAGCTGAGCAGCTCCAGCTGGAAACTGGAAAATCCGCGCTCTCCATCCCATCCATCCCAGCACACAGAGAAGATTACATTGTTTTTGAAAAATGGAACTGCCCCAATATTGTCACTCGCATTCAAAAGCTCTGGCTGGAGTGCCTCAGTGAGTCGGGTCCATCCTGCAGCCAGCTCTAAGCCCTCTGCTGAAAGCTGCCGCCCAGTTCCTTCTGTTCCACAACAACACCACAGGCTCTGGAGCGAGGCCAGCGAGTGGCAAGATGAAAAAAATCAAAAACCAATACTGGAGAAACTGCATTTCCTGTGAACATTCAGTGTGAATGCTCATTGCTGAAGAACTTGACAAAAAAACGGCCGAAATTAGCTGAAAACATGCTGAAATAGCTGAAATGGAAGAACAAGAACAAGTTAGTAGAAGAAAGCAGAAAGAACACATTTGCTGAATTTGGTTTAAATAAACAGAAATGAGTACAAAAATGAGTAAATTAGATTAAAAAGCTGAAATTAGTAAAAAATAGCTGAAAAGGCAGAAAGAAGCTTAAATTACCAGAAGGAAATAGAGCACAAATGCATTAAATTAGGCTGATAGAAGCAGAAATGAGCACAAAAAGTGAAACATTTCTGAAAAATGCAGACATTTGCAAAAAAAAAAAAAAAAAGCTGAAAAGAAGCTTAAGAAGCTGAAATTACAAGAAAGAAGCAGAAAGAGCACATTATTGCTGAAATAGGCTGAAAAAGTTGAAATCAGTGCGAAAAATGTGGAATTAGCTGAAAAAGCTAAAATTAGCATAAACAGCTAAATACTAGCTGAAATAGCAGAAAAAGCTGAAACTTGCATAAATAAGCTGAAAGGAGCATAACAAGCTGAAATTAGTAGAAAGAAGTTAGAAGCTCATACAGTAAATGTTGTTAACAGAAAGAATCGGAATGGAGCACAAAGCAGCTGAAAAAAAAGAGCTAAAATTAGCTGAAAAAAGTTTACATTTGCACAAGGAAGCTGAAAGAAGCTGAACCAGGACAAAATGTGAAAGGAGCAGTAAAAGGTTGTAAACAAATCTAAAGACTTGAAGGATGTAAAATGTGCTCAATTAATTTTCTACAAGGAAAAATGTGACAGAAAAGGCTAAATATTTAAAAAAGCTAAAGTTGCACCAATAACAAAAGTCAGCATGACTGTCCTGAACGAGCTGAACGTTTTGGATTTATGAATTGTTGAACTAGCACAAAAATTTTGGAACGAGAACGATGCCGGAAAACGTACCGGAACAGAAGTAAAAAGGTTGAGAATAGTGAGAATGCTTCATAAACACTCACACAATTAAAGACGCAGTGAAAGGTTGGCGAGACATTTTTATTGCATTATTCAATACATCAACAGAAAATAAGACAGAACACAAATATTTTGCAACCATGCGATCATCTTTTCTTAAAATGCATAAATAAATTAAAAAAATGCAGCCCATATTGCAAAAGATGTTGAACTTCAGATTAAAACATATTTACAGCACACGGGTTTTAAACCTTTGGATCCATTATTTAAAAAACAAGTTTAAATAGTCGAGGACCACAAATGAACAAAAGGCACCTTCGTTATTTCAGAGAAATCATTTAACGTTCCACTAAATGAGCTTTATTGATAAAAATCGATGCTCTAAATGAGACGACTTGATTTAAACACATCCCCAGTTTTGCCTTTGTAAACATTATCACCAGTATGCTAGGCTATTTATAATTTCTGATTATACCATCATGGCTCATTAAGGACGCCGCTAATAAATAATCAAACCACAGTGAGACGATGTGATTCAAAGAGGCACAGTCTGTTAATAACTGCCAGCAAATAAGCGCCTTGCTCAGGGGCCCAGAGTGGAGCACAGGAGGGTGGAGGCAGGTGTGGGTGCTTCACCTTTCCCACCCACATTCTGATGTTTTCGGTACCAGGAGTTGAACCAGCGATCTTCCGATCACAGGCCCACATTCTCTAACCTCTGTGCCACCACTCCCTTGATTCAGTCGTTTGCAAAAAGAACCTTAAAATGGTTTACCTTTAATTATGAATACTTTTTGTATGTCAATACCCATAATACTAATAGTACAAAATACTACGTTTTAATTTTAAGATGGTAATACAGAAATATTTTGATATAAATCAGCTTTTGTAGTACATTTGTTTAGAGATTATTTTGCATTTTTGATTCATTTACAACAAAAGCTAAACTAAACTGCAGACTTAAGCAACTGTTTGTATATTTGTTATTTTTTATGGATGAAAAATGACAAAATAAATATTGCATTACTTGCTAATAATGACCTTTTAGTTTCTTAATAGTAACTATACTTTACATGTTGGTGGTAGGAAGAGGCGTTTCTAGAAGGACTGCTTTTGTGTAACTTTAACATGGAAGTTTAAAAAAATAAAAAAATGCTGGTGATTCACGTTAAACATTTTAATCCCCAAACTTCAACAAGAAAAAGATGAAAGGCTACAAACTTCATGTTGAACTCAGGATGGTGACCACTGGTTCAGACCACAGGGGCCTCCTGGGCCTCGGGGGCCTCCACTTCCTGCGTTTCACCTCCCTGACAGCTTTCACTGCTAAAAAGATAATATGGAGGCGTCTGCCGAGCCTCGATGATGAGGACGCCCTCGGGTGACAAGGAGGCAAAGACTGTCAGGGGGTCCACATCGGTGGGGATCCTAATGAAGCAGAGAAAAGGGAGAATTAGAAAAAAGGAGTGGACAAAGTTTAAAGAAAGTTTGTGATTGGAGAGTTTTAGAACATGTGGGGGAAATGTCATAAAGGAACAGGTCATATAAAACCCTTTAGCAAAAATTCTGACACCCATAAACTACCTCCATTTGAAAATAATATTTATTAAAACAAGTCCCATTTTTGTAAATTTAAAGGTCTAGCACTCCTTTAAAGAATGTAGCTCACCGTCTTTCATCCCAGAGGTTCATGCTAAGTTTTCTTATCTTAAGTTATGCACAATTTCCTAATGCTCAAAATGTGTGTTGTGAATTACTCTCAGCTACTATTACATCTAAATTTAGCTCAATGTCTGGTAAAGTAATAAAGTTTTTAAGCCAATTTTTGTGTTGGTTTATGTCAAAAAGTGTGGAGGTCATTCTGAGTTAGGGCGACTCAAAAGATTTAATGTTCGATGATTACTTTGACAGTTTCATTAAAATCTGTCGAGTGGTTCCCAGGATGGTTTGGGAACAGTAAAGTGCACACACACAGCAAAAAACATCATCCCACTTCACCCTCTGGTGAATGTTTGACAGAAATTATTCACGTTCCTAGAACTGATTTTAAACTTGTGAAAAAAAACTCTCCCAAATAAGAGATAAAAGCCTTATTATTTTAATTATTATTATTTTAGGACAAAGAAACCAGATTGAAACTATAATAAGGGGAAGAAACGGACTCACCGAGGGAATAATGGATGAAACAGGGAATCAACAATGAAGCATCCAAAACAAAACACAAGGAACATCAAGACAAGAGACTGAATCTACACGGACAAACAGGTCATGACACCTGCACTGTTTGATGTAGTTTCATTAGCTACAGCTAATACTTTATGTAATATAGGCAGTTTGGAGAAAATGCACTTCCTGTGAAAATGCAGTGTGAATGCTGAAATGAGCTAAAACCATACTGAAACGTAGCTGAAATGAAAGAACAAGCCTAAGTTAGCAGAAAAAAGCAGAAAGAACACATATTTGCTGAAGCAGAAATGAGCACAAAAATTAGTAAATTAGCTAAAAACACTGAAATTAGAAAAAAAAATAGCTCAAAAGTAGCTGAAAAGTATAGTCACAAAGGCAGGAAGAAGCTTAAAATACTAGAAGTGGACAATTGTGTCCAATAATTAGTTTTAAAGAAGCAGAAATGAGCAGAAAAAGTGGAAATTATATGAAAGAAGCAGAAATGTGCAAAAACAGCTGTAGTAGCTAAAAAAGCAGAAAGAAGCTTAAATTACCAGAAGAAAGTGGAGAGAGCGCATTCTTGCTGAATTAGGCTGGAAAAAGTTTGAGTGCAAAAAAATGTGGATTGAGCTGAAAATGCTGAAAATAGCATAAAAATACCGAACTAGTAGCAGAAATAGCAGAAAAAGCTGAAACTAGCAGATATAAGCGGAAATGAACAGAAATAAGATAGAAGAAGCACAAAAATGTTGTAGCTTGCAGAACGAATCTAAAAGGAGCACAAAACAGCTGAAAAACAGCTTTAATTAACTGAAAGTAGCTGAAAAAAGTTTAAATTAGCAGAAGGAAGCTGAAAGAAGCTGAAGCAGAACGAAAGTGAAAGGAGCAGAAAAAGACTTGAAGGATGTAAAACGAGCTCAATTCATTTTCTATGAGGGGAAAAAAAATGGCAGAAAAGGCTAAATATCTCAAAAAGCTAAAGATGCAGCAATACCAGAATTCATAGCACCCTTCTCCTGGACAAGCTTAAAGTTTTGATTTGTGATTTGTTGAAATAGCACAAAAATCGTGGAACGAGAAAGACGCTGAAAAACGTACGGACGAAAAATGGCTCACAGTGTGAATGCTTCATAAGCGTTCACACAATAATTGGCTCTAAAGAATTAAAGACAATATCCTGATAGAAAACCTGAGTCGTGCAAATTCCATCCGATTTACTGTAATTACCTTTGTTAAGAAAAGAGATAGCTTAAAGTCTTAAATTTAGAGTAAAAGCAACTTTTGACCTAGACGGCAGATTTGATCCTCCAGCACCTTGTTCTAGAATAACAAGTCTGTGCAGGCTGCTGCACATGCTCACACAGACTCACACGCTGGTCTTGGTCAAAGCTGTGTGGCCAAATATGGCTGTTATAGGTTTTCCGTGTGAGCAGCCAAGTGGTTTTGGGAGTTAATATAAACAGCAGGCTGCTATCAGGACGTTCAGGGAAGGAGGCAGCTGCTCTGCCCTTCTATTAATTAGAGAGGACCCTCGACTTGCCTCCCACCCCCTTCTGAAATAAAAGTCAATGTGAAGTGAAGAAGCACGGCACAGACATCACGTCACGTCTATTTCTGTATTCACACATCATGTGTAGAGAATCTGTGTTCTAATCATCCAGGTGGAAAAAAAAAAAACAGAAGAATACAAAAATAAGTGATGTATAGACTGAATAAGTGGGAAAGAGCATTTATGAAACTAAGGTAAAAGAGATCCAATGATCCAAACAATGCTTTATCTAACTGATGGGTTACAGCATGTAGCTAGAAGAACACCAACACCGCAGCTCCAAGACCTTTAGAAAGCTAAAGCTAAAGACCAAAGGAGTTGAGGTGTCAGGGTGGAGGCCCAAAAGCTTAAATTAAAAAAAAAAAAAAAAAAATTCAGAATTAATGTGAAAAACTGCAAATGTCATGGACGACACCGGAGCTGAATAAACACGTTTTATCACAAACACGTCTTCAGGATCCAGAGGCGTGGCAACAATTACATATGAAGGGGATATGTCCCCCTTACATCTAAAAAATACTCATTTGGGCCCCCTCACATTTACCATGAAATATTAGTTCACTCAGCTCTTTCTATTTTTTCATGAATGAATCCATTCCACTTGATTAACAGGAGAGTACTCAAACCACTAAAAGTCCACCCCAGGTTTTCCTGGTTACCTACAACAACTCTCCACATAGCATGCAGCGTTTCAGGTGACCTGGCTGGGCCAAGCAGGTATCTCTGCAGACAAATACGGAAGGCGTATCTGGAGAGTCACATCTGATTGGACGATAAAACAATGGGCATATCTGGACAGTCACTCATGATTGGACGATAGAAAAATGGGCGGATCTGGGGGCCACATCTGATTGGACGATAGTAAAACAGGCATGTCTGGAAGGCCCCCATCTGATTGGACGATAAAACAATGGGCGTATCTGGAGAGTCACACACGATTGGACGATAGAAAAATGGGCGGATTCGGGGGCCGCATCTGATTGGACGATAGTGAAACAGGCATGTCTGGAAGGCCACATCTGATTGGACGATAAAACAATGGGTGTATCTGGAGAGTCACATCTGATTGGATGATAAAACAATGGGCGTATCTGGAGAGTTACACACGATTGGACGATAGAAAAATGGGCGGATCCGGGGGCCGCATCTGATTGGATGATAGTAAAACAGGCATGTCTGGAAGGCCACATCTGATTGGACAATAAAAAAAAAGGCTGAAAAAAAAAGCCGTTTGTGTTAACCACAGACATATTATGTTTATGGTGTTAACCAGTTCGACATAGGGGCGTCTCCATAACTTCTCTTTCCACCTCTCTTAACAGAACTTCCGATTACATTTCAAAATAAGAGCAACATAAATGGGAAGTGGGGAGGGCTAAATGTTTGTTTTTCTTAATACCTAGCCATTACATTAAAAAACAAAATCAGTTTTGGTTGTTGAAAAATGTGAAAATAGTTACAATCGATTCATAAAGAAAGAAAAATAAAGTAACCCAAATATTAATGATACTTAAACTGGCCTTGGGACAAAGGATGTTTCCTTTAACTTCACATGTTCTTGTTCAACCTGCAGTCACTGCAGATGAGTGATTGTCAGGTTCTGTCAGATTTCTGCAACTGGAGCAGGTATGCTGTTTACTGGTTCACTTCCTCAGCTGTCTCACATGTTAAGGGTCAGTCCATGTTTCAGCTCCTTTCATAGATCAGATCTCATAGAAGAACTTCTAAAAAGCAAATTTTGTTTTTAGCGTTTGTTTTGGACCATTATCTCGTCACAGGACTCATGATCTTTAATTGAGACCAGACTTTTTGACAAATAGAAGCAGGTTTCGCTTCAGACGCTTCATATTTCATTGTACCCAGACCAGACTGAAGCCGACCTGTGTCAGGTGCAGCCTACAACCCAAGCACTAAAGAGAATCTTCTTGTGTTTGACAGCAGATATAACGCTGTTTCTTAGAAACCTTCAGTTTTAAAATAGAGCTGATGTAACTTAACTAAAGAGCAGCAGATACAGCCGCCAATCAGTGTTTGTCCTCTACAAACACCTATTCTCCAGAAACGCCCACTTTTGGTCTGCAGAGAACCCCTTCTCGGCTTGGCAGGACACTCACGGGGCGGGGGGGGACCTCTGTGTTGCGCTCTAGTTTAGTGCTACATTAGTGCCGGCAGTTGTTGATCGGGGTGGGGGTGGGATGCGTGAGAGAAGTTGAACTTCTCCAACCTGAACAGCTCTTCAGTGGATAAGACCATCGTTGACCTATTTTCCATCACTTCAGCTGTTTCCGTAGGTAAACAAACACAACGTGACAGTTGGCAGCCATTCACAAATTTAGCTTACGATTTTTTTTAATTTAAGAAAACATTAACCATTAATATGAAAATAACGAACTTTGGATATTTTATGTCTTTATTGTTATTTTTCGTCTGGTCTTGGTGACTTCAGAATAAAGAACTAATCATTCAGTTGTCAACTGATCAAATATATTCAAATATAACTAATATTGTTAACACAATGATGGTAAATGTATTTGTTCATGTCTGTTTAAGCTTCCGTGTTTTATAAGTCGGTCAATAGTTACTGATATGTTTTGGTCTCAGTCAAAGCAGGTCACTCACATGCTGATGAATCCATCCATAGATCATGATTTAGCATAAAAAATACAATTTATTATTCTCTCTAACATAATTCCAATAAGTTGAGTAAAGAATG